TTAAAAACAGTACAAAAATAAGGTGTTCATGGCTAAAATTAATAAAAATACATGTTTGTGATACGTCAATGTAATCAGGAAAAAAAAATCAAAAACAACTGACGTTAAAATATACAGGGTGTCGCATTTAAAAAATACCAACATTTGGTCAAATCTCTGCGATTCAAATTGTTTTTTGACTACGTCACTACATAAAAATATCTAAAATAGACAGATTTTACCTTTTATAGATGTTAACATCCGGCCCTGCCGATCACTGATTGCAGTTCGTAATGCTTTTTCTAAGGATTAACTAACATTTTTATTGTAAGCGTAATAAACAAGTTTTTAATTTCAATATTTCTCAGTTGATTATTTATTTACATTATTTATTGGCAGGTTGAAAATATCTCGTTTTGTTATTAAATTAAAACCTGTCATTAGTAACATTTATAGGCAGATTGCACACGTCTGACAGTACTTGCAGAAAGTTCGAGGACACTGTTGCAGAAACATTAAAAACATTTTGCTTTGAGACACTCAATCCATCAAAGAGGATTGTTTTCATGGCATGCTACAAAATCTTTAATTTTGGGCGTGAAAAATTCCAATCAAAAGTAACTTTGATATTAATCATTGAATTTAGGGGGATAAATTCTATTAAATTCAATTAAAAAACGTGGTTATCCCATTTAAAATATTGAAGTTAACTATTAGTAGCCCCCGAAAATAGTAATTTAAAACATGGCCGTTTTGTAGTATTTTTGTAGTCATTAAATATGGTGTTTGTGCATTGAATTCGGACAAAAACTTTAGGTGCTACAGGTTGCGGCGTTTTTTTTTTAATTACACCCTGTATATTTCTATCACTGCAATGCACAGCATTAATATATTCAATGTTATGCGACAACTGAAGTGTGTTGTTTCTACACACATTTCTGTATTGAAAGTGCTCATCTACAAGTGAGTTGTTATGGCGTGGTGCATTGAGGCGAGTAACAATTGATTTTCATTGAGATGTGATTCAGTACGGCTTGCATTTGCACAAGTCTTCTATATGAGATAATCGCCAGAGACGTTTTAAGTGCAATTTAAGTTATCTATCTTTACACTGGCCGTTAATAATTTCAAGTGTCGACATAAAAACCGTCACATTTCCATTATGGCGCTGACCATTTTTTTACTCTCATTACTACTGTTATTGACGAAAAACGATTTTTCTATTAATGGATCTAATTAAAAGATTGTTATGGCGTGTACTTACTTTCTTGTAAGTACAGACATTCTATTCACAGATGCAAGAATATCCAGTATGGATAATTTGTTATAGACTATTTTATTTTACCTTCAATTCTGAGTGGGCGGGGTTTCAGCCAAAGCTGTTCTACCAACCCAACCCACTATACATTTACAAATATCCATGCCTGAACCCGGATTCGAACCAGGGACCCTTAGCACCACAGTTCAGCTATAAAAACAGCATTTCATAATGGCTGTTGTTTAATTGGCTACGATTTTTTAAGGATTAGGATTAATAACACATCAAAAGTTGAACTTGAGACAAAAGAATATGTAAGAGGGGGGGTACAGGTGGCAGTTTTTATTTCATTCAGGGTGGTATTTAACTGTTTAGTGTTAAATAAACAAACAATGGTGTTGACTCCCCAACTGAGGCTAGAGGGTTTCTTTTACTAAAAACAAAAGAACACAGGAAATATTTGGGATATTGTCGATTTGACCTGAATATCCTTTTTAAATTATCACTGTACAGACCAACATTTACTCGCATAAAAATAAACGAGCATCGTTTGTAAATTCAGCTTCAGAACAAGATATCACGATTCAGACATAACTTACCAGTTACACTGTTGAGGTTTCGCAGATCTACAAGAATTAAGCGATTATTACAGTTTAAAGATCACGAAGGTATATTACCGAAACACGTTCGCGTTGTAACAATTCGACGCACGGTGACGGGGCGTGGTAAAAATTTTCGGTTTTGCAATACTCTTGCGAAACTGTGCGACTTCCTAAAGGAAACAAATTAAAACAAAGTAAAATAACGAAGGAGAGGTTACCTGTTCGCTAAGATTCGTGTTGACATACGTAAGTTTAGTGCCGCCGAAGGTTATTGTCGTGTTGGGTAAAAGCAAGTCTGTCTTTCCCTTCCGTAGACATTTGCCGTTCACCTCGACCGAGTTGAGGTTCGTTTTTGAAGCAATCGTCGCCTGAATTTAAAGCGTTTAGAACACAAAAGGATAAGGCCGGAGCTTACCATTTTCTTCTCGTTGACAATGACGAGACATTGGGAGGAGACAATTCGATTTCCATACAAACGGATATCTGCATTTAGATCACTTCCAATCACGTTAATTCCAAGTTGTAATGGATGAATAACAATCTGTTTTTGTTCTGGATTTGTGCTACTCTCGTGTAATTCTCCAAAGTAGCTCGTCATTTTAATTCTTGGGAGTAAACAATGAAGCACTGTTGACACTGTCCTGCAGTTTTTTTATTGTCAATCACACTCTAATTAAAAACTGGACACTAATATGTACTTTTGGCACACTTTTTAAGGGTTATCAGTCACATTTAACGGTTAAGTTTGCAAGATAACACAAATTCAAACGGAAAAACCGTTAACAACAATCAACACGCAAACTTCAACTGTCACTTGGTTTGTACAGGCGGAAGGGGAAGGCAAGATTTAAATTTTCAAACTGATACATTAAACTTATAACAATTTCAACAGAATTGTTCTTGCAATTGCACTATAGTTTATTTCAAAAGCTTGTAATTCACTAAAAGTTCCAGTACGTTAATATTTAATTTTTATAAATTATTTATTTATTTACGAGAATCCATACCATTGGTTGGACATAACACGTCCCTATTGGTCGGGGTCGCATCGCTGTTGCTCGCTTACGTGAGATGTCGCTACGGGTGCAATTTGATGTGGATATACAGAATGAATTGTAACATTCGGTACAAGGGGTTCAAAATAAATTTTCTTCAAATTCCAATAATAACAAGATTACATCGGTAACATTTTTATAAATTAACGCCCATGACCTTATTTAAAGAAAAGGTTTATTTTGATCTCCTGTATTTAACCGGGTAAACAGGCGTTGTAGATTATAATTGTATGTGATAACATCAGAATAAGAGTACTCATATGATTTCAAAGTAGCTAGTAGTATAACTACGGGCATGAGAAATTTAGGATTTTCTACCTGGGCACTAGCCAGTGGCGTACGTAGAAATTTATTCTGGGGGGGGATTAAACAAGTTCGTGGCACATACAGTCACCCAGTGCGTACTAGAAGGGAGAGGGGGGTGGGGGGGAAGAAATAGAAATTGGGTTGCACAGGCGAAAAAGATTAAATTAGAACGATATTTTATTTCTTACTGCTGACAGGCCCCTTTATTGCTTTTGCTTTAATTAGTCAACGAAAACTTTGAATAATAGGTATATTTATGGGCAAAAAACCAATTTCGACAAAAAATTCAAAGGGCTGTAACTTTTGATCTAGTAGTCCGATCTTGGAACTGTTTGAAATTATGGATTCTACAGGCCACATTAAGAAAATATTTTTTTCCGGTCGATCTGAGACAATTTTTTTTCGGGGCAAAAAAAAGGCATTGTATAACCTTCCTTTTTTTCCAAAAATCGACTGCACCAAAATTTCTCGGGAAAAAACTTTTTCTTATTAATTAGGGTGCGTAGAATCCAAAACGATTCGTACTTTTTCGATTAGACGTTTCAATCAAAAGTTATGGGCAAAAAACCAATTTCGACAAAAAATTCAAAGGGCTGTAACTTTTGATCTAGTAGTCCGATCTTGGAACTGTTTGAAATTATGGATTCTACAGGCCACATTCTATAAGAAAATATTTCCGGTCGATCTGAGACAATTTTTTTTTCTGGGCAAAATCCCAAAAATCGACTGCACCAAAATTTCTCGGGAAAAAACTTTTTCTTATTAATTTGGGTGCGTAGAATCCAAAACGATTCGTACTTTTTCGATTAGACGTCTCCATCAAAAGTTATGGGCAAAAAAATTCCTGTTTTTAAAATTCTTATTTTCGTCATTTCGTGAAAGGCAGGACGCAGGTACCTCACCTCAGTAGCAGTACTAAGTACCTGATACCTATTTGTTATTTTGGGCATCAATGTAGCGAATTGCCGATCGATGCCGAATAGTCAAATCGTTGACTGCCAACACTGATCACTCACTGAATAGTGAATACTGAATACTACAGAATATTTAGATTTTAGTGACTTTAGACTTTAACCAAAACCAAAATTGCTCTCTATATATACTTATATATTATTGCCTTTATTTTAAAGTGGGCGGAGCGGATAGCGGATATATCCCCTTCATCCCCCCCTGTAAATACGCCACTGGCACTAGCCGCTCGAGCGAGGAGACTTGGATTAATCAAAGAAACACTTCAACAAAAACTCGATTTCCGAGATTTAAGAGAAATCCAGGCCGAAAGTCGACTGGAGAGTCAACCGCTACTGGAACTCCTTATGTGGGGCTCTACCCTCTACGACCAACCTAGGAAACACCTGAACAAAAGCCGAATTTCAAAGATTTAAAAGAAATCCAGGTCGAAAGTGGACTGGAGAGTCAACCGCTACTAGAAATCCTTATGTGTCAAGAACACTACACCCCTGTTTATTATTGGAATCAGATTAAAACTTTGTATGAAGAAAGGCTTATTTTGATCTCGCTTAGTTAAGTACCATTTCAGGGTGACAGAGATGTAAGAATTTAGCAATTTACCCTGTGTTTGCGTATTTTTTTAAGAATAATGATGGGCGTGCTTGTTTTAACCGTTAACCGTATTGCTATTTAAACGGCTCTACGGTGAAACGCTTTTGGACGCCTCACGCCGAAATTGCACCAGAACCCTTCAAGCTTAAATGGTAGATCCAATGTGCAAGTTTAGTAGTCCCAATGTACCGATTGTTAACCTAAAAGATGTGGCAACATGGATGAATTGACAAAAAAGATGCAAAAAGGCAACCACGGATTTAACAAAAACTTAACCTTGTTTACCTGACTATTATCTTCAATAGTCGGTTATTACGTCGACAAAACATGCTAAGGTGCTAGTAATTACAATGTTCCGGTGATAAAAATTGAAAAATTTCGATAGTATAAGTAAAAAAATGACTTTTAAAAAATTTACAATTGTTAATAGATATCTTTTCTGTGCGTTGCTTTTGCTGTCATTTATAATTGATGTGACCGCCGTCGGTCAGGTTCTCTACGCCGTAAACTGCGGCGGTGATGCATTTACGGATTCCAACGGTATACACTATGAAAAAGATCCGTTACAGGGACGAATCGGCATCGCCTCGGACTATGGCAAACGTCTACTGATCGGACGGGTGCCTCCGAATGACCACATCCTGTATCAAACGGAGCGTTATCACCACAGCACCTTCGGATACGAAATCCCCGCTCATTCGGACGGAGAGTACGTACTCACTTTGAAGTTTTCAGAAGTCTATTTTAATGCACCCGATCAAAAAGTCTTCGATGTTGTTTTAAATGGCGATCACACAATTGTGAGCGACTTGGACATATTTGAAAAAGTCGGACGTGGTGTCGCTCACGACGAGCACATCCCATTCACCATATCAAAAGGTAATGTAACCGCCACATACAAACAAAAGCTAATTCAAATGTTTAGGCCGCTTGCTGGTTAACGGCGAAGAATCGGAAATACGAGGGGGACGCATCCGTGTAGAATTTATAAAGGGTTACAAGGATAATCCGAAAATTAACGCTATTCTCGTTATAAAGGGCACTTTAGATGATGTACAAAAACTACCTCCAATAGAGCCGGAACCTATAGAGGAGTACAAGGAGGAACCGGAGGTTGTTCCTAAAAATAGACGACCCAGCGGACCTAAACAGCCAGATCCGTACACGCTGGACGATTCGTCGATGATGTTGCCTGTATTTATAGCAATTGGTACATTTATACCTATACTATTTTGCTTGTGCAAATTGTGATCAGACAGTTTTCGTCACTAAAGGGAATAGATTTTCATTTTACTGTAGCTATGGCTGATTAGTTGTTAACGTTAATTTCTCTTTTTAATTTTATTTAATTGAATCATTTTGTTCGATAATTGTTTTATTCGTACTTACAAGAGATAATTTGCTTAATTCGTACTTAGTATGAAAATACGTATAATTCGCTTTCGTCTTGTATATACAAAGAAAAATTGTTTTGAACGTTATAATTTCATAATAGTGACTGCGATTTGTGCATGATAGTACCTTAAATAATTTATTATTGTTAACAGTGTAATTTTGATGTTAATGTTGTTTGGGAGTTTTAGAATGACAAGTAGGGGTAGATTCCAGTTGTTTGTAATAATTATTGTATAATAAAAGTACAATAGAAGCATTGAATTTTTTTAATGTAGATATTAATCCAATATTTTATGTCTCCGTTAAAGTGAGTGACGGTTTTTCGCTATCACCACTGTGCAACCTGTTTGTTTCTGCAACTAATATTCTCACCTCTAAAAAGCATTAAGGGGGTCACTTTGTAATTGGGCGCCAGCTTGTTGAGGGCCCAGAACAAGAGAGGGATAATAAAATAAATAAATATGCCGCTGATGCCTGCTATATCCCGCATCCGTCCCGCTCCCGCATTCTCGCGCCAGTCGAGTATAAGGTACGAGGCGCCGTTTGCACCATAATTATAAATAATAATATAAGTATTGAGGAACTTTTAGATATAGGCATATGCATTAAAAGTTTTAAATATACCTATAATATCTGCAGGGTAGCGCTACAGTAGCCTTAAACTTGGCAACTCGTTTACATTTCGAATAATATACCTACATATAATAATTTATTATTATGAAAGAAAACTGGCGTCGAACGTCTGATCTACTAGTGTGTACGCCGCCGTGTATGTGTCGTGCAATCAAAGGTAAAAAGGCAATACCATTGTTTAAATACTTTATAAACAATGGCAATACCATTGTTTAATAAAGTATTTAAACAATGGCAGTACCTAACACTATTTTATTTTCAAAGTGAACCTTTAGATGTCGTTTTTGCAGATGCGCAAAAAAACGATGCGTAAACGAGAAGAAGCGGCGCCTGTTCGAATTACACAATGCTGTGGATGTAGGTAAAAACAAAGCACACTTGATATTGGGCGGCCGAAATCATGAAATGTGGAAGAGGTGGTGGAAGTTTGGCGAGGAGATCGACTGGTCCAGGAACATGGAAACTGGGATCAGCTATAGAGCTTTAAGGTATGTGTATTGGACCTAAGTTATTTAATCGTAAAAAATTAAACAAACGTATCAAATCACTTGGTTGGTTTTGATCAAGGGGATTTGACGAGGGGGGCAATTGTGTACGGTTCCCTATTATAGGTGCAATCAGGTATGATGATTGGCCCTACAAGTGTAGCATTTGTGATTTGATTGGCATTTCGAAGTTGTATGAAGAAGACTTAAACAATTTTTATAATTAAACTGTTTGGCTAACGAGAAGCGTTCTCTAAAAAAGGCAAACCTTTGTAAATTTGATGCAAGGACAAACGCGAAGGGTATTTTTGCGTATAAAGCTGCGTATTTTGAGTAGGTATCAGAAGAGCATCGTCACTGGTCAAAAAGTACAAATGTTTTTATTACATATTAAGGGTATGTTTTATAATTGTTGGCCTATAATTGGTCAGGGTTTAACTTTTGGAGTGTCAGAAACAAGACCGTTCAAATTGATTTAGTAGTTGAACGGAATCTGAAGCTATGGTGTGGTTTTCTAAAAAGGCACAGAGTTCATTATATGCATCTAGGTAACTCTGTTGAACTGAACTCATGTTAGAATTGCGTACGCCTTTTTGAATCTAATTTTTGAATTAAACAATTAAATAAAATAAAGTCCCATGCGTCAACAGGAAAATTAAGCGTCTGTAGCGAGGTCTATAGGTATAATGCTTCGACGTTCTCACAAAATTTGTCTAAGAGGAAACATACGATAGTAGGTACTTATATTGTAGTTTTTTATGGTTATGGGTAAACCGCGAATTAAATTTAATGGTTTTCCCTGTAAAGACGTGAACAAATAGTGACATTTTTCCACTTTAGATAAGCACTCATAATCTGATTATGAACGGCTTGAAATTTTTTATACAGGGTGGTGACTTGCGTAACGCATCATAGGGATTTCAATGTAAAATTCATAACATGTGATTATTGGCTCCCCAAATTATTTTAGAGCAAAAATGTATTAAGGTTTTTTGTAGGAAAAATTTTTTTACGTCAAATCTACGGTTAGTTTTCAATTTTTTGCATACTACAGACGGAAAATTGGAAAAATAAAACCCCCACCTTTTTCAATAATCTGTGATGCCATGGAATTTTATAATACAAAAACTACGCCAATATCCGATACATGCCATGGAATGTCTGCTATGAAACAAATCAAATTCTATCAAAAAGTATTATATTTAGAACAGCGAATTCAACATAAAGAAAGACCAAATTACTAAAAACGGTTTCCTAATATGACAATTTACAATAAATGTTCGAATAAGTCACCATTAACTGCAATACAGTAACCAAGTCGATCATAAAAGCCATTTCGAACTGCCGCTAATTGATATCTGGATATCTTTTTGTTTTAGAAAATTCCATGGCATCGCAGATTATCGAAAAAGATACGGGTTTTATTTTTCCAATTTTCCGTCTATATGAAAAAAATTGAAAACTAATACGGTTGATTGGCGTAAAAAAATTTTTTCTACAAAAAACCTTAATACATTTTTGCTCTAAAGTAATTTGGGGAGCCATGTTATGAATTTTACATTGAAATCCCTATGATGCGTTACGCAAGTCACCACCCTGTATACAGAATCAATTCCCGTTGCCCTCGCAATAAAAGTATTTTTGACCGATACAGGTATCTTTGGTAATGTTTGCACTGCTAGATTACCTAACAGCTTTTTTCAAGCGGATTGTAACGCGATAGATTTTTTGAAAATGTATTTACTAAGTTTATCTTACATTGCAATGAACGGTTATTGAAAATATATAATTATTAATTTAATTAGCGTTTTGCGTGAATCACCAAACTATCAGAAATTAATTTCATCCGGCTCGAAGAACCACATAATGGGCGCATCAGTGGACTGTATGAGTTTTTACGAAAATAAATAAAACACACCAAAGTGTCTAACCTTTTATTGCGCTGGTGCTTGTAAAAAAGTGAAAGTGTAATTTGCCGAGTAAAATTTTTTGTAAAGTTATCGGCCGGTACCTAAATAAATAAACTGCTTATGTATTCCTTGAGGATGTGGTACAATTTGGTAGCATTTTGAAATCATTAAATTTTGAATGCACTAGGGTCACTAAACATTAATATATCAACGACAAAAATTAACACATGTGCAAATACTGTGCAATCAAAGCATATATTTTCGTAAAAAGTAGACACATATGGTTTTCGTGAATTAACTTTTGATGGTAAGTCCTATTTAAGTCTCCAAAAATAATCTGCTAGCATTTCTGATGGCTCTCATTCCCTTGATAGCGTTTGTCCATTAAAGAAATGTGACAAAACCTCTCGCTCTTGATAAAGTTAAATAAGTTCAGAAAAATACAAACAAATAATAAGAACTTTATTGACAATCTGCCATCAATTTACGAGGGTCATTATTTATTTAACCTCCGATATATTGTCCTCAAGTAAAAGTAAAAATTTTTAACAATAGTACTTTGTGTACCAAGGCGGGAAAGTGGTTGTTTTGCGGGGCGAAGGAAGATATGGCCAGGCGAGGCGCAGCTTCCTGATAATTCGGAGTGCCAAAAACTAGCGGGAAAGTTGCTTTTCGTGGCTGTTAATAGTAGGCCAGAAATAGCTGCTCCTGTACCCATTCCCAGTCTTAGACCATTGATACTGTTTTTTAATGTAATTTTGTCAATAAGGTCAATGTAGTGTTATGACAAGTAAAAGGAGAAAGTACCTACCTATAATTCTAATGATTCTATACTGAAGAAGAGAAAAATAGTTGAATATACCAATGTATGTATACAGGGTGTTTTTTTGGCAGCTTTAGTTAAACGTTTCTGGGAAAGTAAAATAGGTAGGTTTTTGAAGTAATCAATTATCAAGGTACCATCTGCATCCGTCTTTTTTTTTCATAAAGTCAAAATAACTTAAAAACCATAAATGGTAGATATCGACATATGGGTATCAAAAGAACTGAGATAATTTCACGTAGAATCCAAAAATGCAATAAAAAATAGGGGTTGCCATTTAAAATAACGAAGTTACTATCTACTTCCGGTGTTTCCGGAAGTGCGGCCATTTTGAAAATATTTTACATCGATTCGGCCTTCAGAGTAACTCCTAAGTACAAATTTTCAAAAACTTATCTATTTTACTTTCCCAGAAACGTTTAACCTAAGCTCCCAAAAAAACACCCTGTAGAACTCGTTCAGGTTGTACCTATTAGTAGATCGTGACCACTAAAAAAATGCATAAAAAAGATACACTTTTATTTACACGTGAAGTATGAGACATGTGATTACAAAAAATTACATTGCAACGAGTATAAAAAAATGGTAAGCGAATCATTAATTAACACCTATACTGTTTTCTTTCCTCAAGAACGTATCGGGAATGGCACCTCCGCTTTCACTTCCGTTTTGAACATTTACATTTTTCGCCCTCTTACTGCCACTATGAAATAGAAATTCACCCACTGTCTTTAGAGGACTCAACTTTATTTTCACCGGACTTGGCAAACAGTCGCCGTTCGGACTATGCTTGGAATTCTTCTTGCTCTCGACCGCACTACTGCTTCGCAAAAAAGTCTTGGGATGGACGTCGTTGTTAACTTCGGCTTCAACAACGAACACTCCGCGCTCTAATTGGGGCGAAGACGACGAGATGCACGCGTTTCGTACCTTCTCTAAGGGGGCCATTTTCATATCGTCACTTAAACTTTCATTCGAGCCCTCATACTTCGATATGCAATGGGAGTGTCGGCATTCCTCGAAGAAAACGTCGTCTTCGCCCTCAACGTACTCGGCTTTGAAGCAGCTATTACCGACACCGCTGGTTTCGCTAATTCGCCTCTTTAAGATACTCTCGCTATCATTTGAAGCTTTGCTACATTCATGCAAGGAAATCTTATCTCTAGAGTACTCCTCGGAAATCGACGGCACCTCGGATATTCTCCAGATTTCTCGCGAGTTACCCGTGGGAGCGGCTGCGAGCGCGGCCGTTTGGGTAACGATCGCCGAAATCGGCGTGGTCATCGTATGCGGCTCGTGGTTCAGCGACAACTGCGATCCCCCGTAAGATTGCGATGCCAAGGAGGCCATGACATCCCGTCGCTGGGACGTGAACCGACTATGCCCGTGGTACTGCTGGTACGCTTGGTTGGAGGAGTGGCGGCCGGTGAGACCTGATGACGAATTGCTCGCGTTTCCGATCCTGAAAAGCTGGCACAAGAAGTGCTTCAATGCCGATCGAAAATCGCGCAGGTGGTACGCGTACAGTAGCGGGTTTCCGGCGGAGTTGGCATGGGAGAGGATGATGCAGAATAACATTATGTTCTCGTTGGCCTGGAAGCAATCCGCGCAGAATGATAGGATGAAGTTGATGGTGTATAGCGGAATCCAGCAGATCATGAAGAATAAGACTATGATTGAGAGGTTTTGAGTCGCCTTTACTTCTTTCTTCTGTTGCGGTCCTAGTACCCTTAACATTGTGCCTCCGTGTGAACGGCCTGACTTTGCGGTGCCCTTTTCTGGATTCATTGTGACAATTTGTCGCACCTGAAATCAGCGCATTAATTGTTTGTTTGGGGATGAAATGGAAGTGCGTCACCTGCTTCAAGACCACTCTATAGATGTGGATGTATGATGCGGCCATCAGTAGGGCGGGTGTTAGGATCGTAACGAAATACAGAAATACCAAGTATTTAGGATCCATCACCTTCAAGAAGAGACATTGGAAATCGCCTTCCACTTCTTGGTACCAGCCCATTACCGGCAGGAAACCGATGAAACTTCCCGACAGCCAACACACGCTTATTATTACTGCAAATAAAGAAATATGTGTTACCAAAATGATTCGACTGGGGTAAAGTGATTGGATGATCCGTTATACAGGGTGGTGACTTGCGTAACGCGTCATAGGGATTTCAATGTAAAATTCATTAACATGCGATTATTGGCTCCCCAAATTACTTTAGAGCAAAAATGTATTAAACCAATGCAGTGAGTAGAATTGATTGCACTTATTTCTTATTCCATATACCTATGATTTGAGTGCAGGAACTACCGGGCACCGTAAGACTATTTTCGAATATTTTACCGGCACAATCCAATATGCATCGAGCACAACGTATTAAAGTAGTAGTGGAACTTGTCACCTAAAAAAACCGAGGGGCTGAGACTCAAATTGGCCTCCGCTTTTCAATTCAAGGATCAGCACAATTTAGCACAACCCTAGCACTATTTAGAAATGTTCATTACACATTTCTTTAATTGCGGGGGCTAACTTGATGGAGCTCGAATAGACAGACATATGAATCTCGAAAAGGGGCTCTAGAGAAATTTTTATTGCTACTTTATTAGGCATTTAGTCATTGATTAATAGTTATATTAGTAGCTGTGCATATTTTTTTTATATGTACGCACTATTAACAGTTCTAATTGCATTATTTATTTAGCTCATTGTTCCGACGCATATAGAAACAAGTATAAATTGTGCAGATAAAGCGCATTTTTTTAAACTTTTGTTTTGACATCACCAATGGATATATTTCTTGCAGACGCCTCAATCGCCCTTTGTGAGTACGCTCTTCCGACAATTCGTTCTTGAGGTGTAAGGGAATATACCCGATCACGATAAGAGGTCGAGGAGGTGGGCTATGGATGGTAGAATTTCGTTGAGACCTTTCATTAGAGTACCATGCAGGACAAAACTAGTCCTAGATAATTTAAATGCAATAAGAGTGCGCCATCTCATTGGTAATCGATACACTTTCCTTCATTTTATAGTTTTACAAGTTTAGTTGAGATGTCGCCACGTACGTAACTTCGTTTAAAATTGCATTTGAATTTATGCCACGTCGGACTTAATTTTACTCAGAGCTGGGCAGAATACTTTCAAAAAGTATTTGAATACTTTCAAACGTGTAGTCGATTTTTGGTAAAAAAGGAAGGTTGTACACTGCCTTTTTTTGAGTCCCGCAAAAAATTGTCTCAGATCGACCCGGAAAAAAAATTTTCTTAAAGAATGTGGCCTGTAGAATCCATAATTTCAAAAAGTTCCAAGATTGGGCTACTATTTCAAAAGTTACAGCCCTTTGAATTTTCTTTCGAAATTGGTTTCTAGTCTATAACTTTTGATTGAGAAGTCTGATCGACAAAGTACGAATTGTTTTGGATTCTACGCACCAAAATTAATAAGAAAAAGTGTTTTCCCGAGAAATTTTGGTGTAGTCAATTTTTGGTAAAAAAGGAAGGTTATACACTGCCTTTTTTTGAGGCCCGCAAAAAAAATTGTCTCAGATCGACCCGGAAAAAAATTTTCTTATAGAATGTGGCCTGTAGAATCCATAATTTCAAACAGTTCCAAGATTGGGCTACTAGTTCAAAAGTTACAGCCCCTTTGAATTTTCTTTCGAAATTGGTTTCTAGTCTATAACTTTTGATTGAGAAGTCTGATCGAAAAAGTACGAATTGTTTTGGATTCTACGCACCAAAATTAATAAGAAAAAGTGTTTTCCCGAGAAATTTTGGTGTAGTCGATTTTTGGTAAAAAAGGAAGGTTATACACTGCCTTTTTTTGGGGCCCGAAAAAAAATTGTCTCAGATCGACCCGGAAAAAAAATTTTCTTATAGAATGTGGCCTGTAGAATCCATAATTTCAAACAGTTCGAAGATTGGGCTACTAGTAGAGATGTCGCCACGTACGTAACTTCTTTTAAAATTAAATAACATTTAAATTTATGGCCGCGCCACCGTCGCGTTTTAGTTCTTCAAGATTTCACCAGGGGCTTAAATGGCGCGGGTGGGTGGCCATGACCGTTGCTCAAAATTATTCCGGCCGGCCGTTGCCTTCCGGTCAAAATCGTCCGGCGTACTGAGAGTGGGTGCCGACACTTAACCGTAAATAATTAGAATTCAACCCGACTCAAAATTAAAAATTCTCGATACCAAAACTTGTCGACAGAAGTCTCTTAAATTTTGAGAAACGCACTGATGGACGGACATACCTACTACTTTTGTAATCGAATTTCTATGCACACCTACGCAGTGCAGAATCGTACCATTTGCAATAGACGCAATTTTTTGTTTAATCATGCCAATAATTGCTTTATTGGCTTGTCATTCACGATTTTCGCACTAAAACAGGTCAGTTGTAAAAACGCGTCGATAAAATCAAAGCGCATCTTTCATTCGTTTGTTCACGGATTTTAAAAATGACAAAGTGACGTCGACGACGTGAAAAAGAAAAATTTTTAGTAAAAATGCGCGAAATTGTGCACATACAAATTGGACAAGCCGGTAATAACATCGGTTCAAAAGTAAGAGCGAGATTGAACTGAATAAATATTAATCACGGGCATTCTTAGTTTTGGGAAGTAATAAGTGACGAGCACGGCGTCGATCCCAGAGGTCACTTTCATGGGGATTCCGATTTGCAACTGGAGAGGATTAATGTGTACTTTAATGAAGTGACGGGCGGCAGGTTTGTTCCTCGTGCGATTTTGGTGGACTTAGAGCCAGGAACGCTGGATGTGGTGAGATCGGAACCCTTTGGGAGGTTGTTTCGTCCTGATAACATGATTTCTGGACACGCTGGAGCTGGTAATAACTTCGCCAAGGGTCGCTACACTGAAGGAGCCGAGTTGTGCGATTATATGCTAGATGTAGTACGGAAGGAGGCGGAAGGATGTGATTGCATGCAAGGTTTCCAACTGACTCACTCCATTGGAGGAGGTACCGGATCCGGAATGGGTAGTCTGCTGTTGCAAAAGCTACGCGAGGAATATCCCGATCGGATCATCACTACATTTACAGTTATACCAAGCCCAAAGGTCTCAGACACGGTTGTAGAGCCTTACAATGCAACGATGAGTGTTCAATTCCTCGTGGAGAATTGCGACGAGACATACATGATTGACAACGAAGCGCTTTATGACATCTGCTACCGAACCCTGAAACTCTCAGCTCCTTCCTACGGCGATCTCAATCACTTGATCTCCGCGGTAATGTCAGGAATCACGACGTGCTTCCGATTTCCAGGACAACTAAATGCCGACCTGCGCAAGATAATGGTGAACATGGTACCGTTTCCGCGCCTGCACTTCTTCATGCCCGGCTTTGTGCCCTTAACATCACGACACGGACAGGCCTATAGAGCGATTACGGTACCAGATCTGGTGCAACAAATGTTCGACGCCAAGAACATGATGTGCGCTTGCGATCCGCGAAAGGGCAAGTATCTGACGGTGGCGTCGATCTTTCGAGGGCGAATGTCAACGAAGGAGGTCGACGAGCAAATGCTAAACATACAGAACAAAAACAGCACCTTCTTCGTGGAGTGGATTCCGAACAACGTCAAAACGGCCATATGCGACATACCGCCCAGAGGACTGAAGATGTCGGCAACCTTCATAGGGAACACGACCGCTATTCAGGAACTGTTCAAAAGAGTTAGCGAGCAATTTTCCGCGATGTTTCGCCGTAAAGCCTACGTCCACTGGTACACGGGGGAAGGTATGGACGAAAATGAATTTTGGGAAGCGGAATCGAACATGAACGATCTCATCTCCGAGTACCAGCAGTACCAAGAGGCCGAAGCAGACGTGCAAGATGAATTTGAAGACGACGAAGATTTTGAGGAATAATTTCTAACTAAAAATAAAGCATTTATCATTTTTTAATGTTATCAGAAAGCTTGCAATCTCGGCGATTGAGGGAATGTTGGTGCTTGGTTTTCCTAGGCAAAAGTAACCAAAAATAGAGATTTTGCTCTTTCAGGATTAGTGTTTGCTTTTAAATTATTGCATAATCTCTTAAAAAATTGGAGATTTCGAGATTTATCGGTCCATAAAGTTGGCGATCTACGAGAAATGGGGTTTATTTAGTGTTTATGAGGATAAAGAGGGGAAAGAATAAATGTTGGTAATTTTTCAGCAGTAGAAGTCTTAAAATTACAGTTTCCCTGTAACAATTACTTCAAATTGTTACGTAATCTCACGCAAAAATAGAAAACAATGGGGATTTCGGTCGTCGGGGACCCTTAAAACTAACGATCACAAAAAATTATTAAAATCAAAGCCTACTGAAGGGGTTTTCTTGATTAGCCTAATGCAAAAAAGCTGTAAAAAGGGATTTCGACCACCACCACCACCGGTCAAGTTATTAAAATCACAGTTCTTCTTTGACAATATACAGGGTGAGTTTTTTTTTCATTTTAAGCATTCGGATCTCGGAAACTATAAGACAGAGAAGAAGAGAAAGATATGCTTTTGTTTTTGGAAAAAAATCCACAGTTTACTTGATATGGGCGAAAAACAGATTTAGTGATTTTTCATTTAACTGTTGTAGAATCGTTATTTTTAGAAATACAACAAAATGACACGAATAAAAGTTTTAGATATATGATGAACATACTAATTTCCTTCTATATTTTACAATTTTTGAATTTACTTCAACTTTAATTTTTTTAAATGGTAGTCATAGTTGGCTTAGACATTTTTAAACAGGAAAAATTTTTCTCTTTATAATGACGTAAGGCTTGCCAAACGTACTTTAATAAATAAACGCGCTGCAGGAATGTTCGTATTATTGAGAGGTAAGTAAACAGCGTTTGCCATGGAAAACAATTTCTAGTGAAAAAGGTAATAGTGTAACTGTGGCGCATTTAACATATTTAAAGCCATCTTCGAAAATTCACTATGCAAGTTAAATTAATAATTATATTCAATACACTATTAAAAACAGATCGTATCATGCCATGGAAAACAATAAATAAACAAAATAGAAGAATGAAAATTAATAAATGTATCTTATTAAGCGGAAAAAAATCTACAATTTTTGTTCTTTGCATATTTTTCTATTTCTAATACTAATGATTCTACAAAAGAAAAATCACTAAATCTGTTTTTCGCTCATATCTAGTAAACTGTGGATTTTTTCAAAAAACAAAAGACTATCTTGAATAAACTTTAAAACTCACCCCGTATAACTGTTTGCTCTTAAATGTTTGTATAATTTCATGCAAAAGTAGAAAAATAGTAAGTTCTTAAGCGGTTACAGTGGTATCACAAGCAAAATGTAGCAAAACAAAGGTTCCGGGACAAATTACAGTTTCTGGTAAAGAATTAGTGGTTGCTTTAAGTTCTTGTATAAAACCATGCAAAAACTCCAAAAAAAGACCCTTAAAGTTGGAAATTATTAAAGAGCTAAGATAATTGTAGCCTTTTTCATGAGTTTTAGTACTACCACAACCACGAAAGCGCGGAATATGTAGATTTCCACCATCACTGACAGTAGGAGTCTTAAAATGACATTTTTCGTTCAGAATTATTGCTTGGTGTTAAGCTTTTACGCAATCTCTCGCGAAGTGAACCATCATAAAATATCTAATAAAAGAATAAAACTGAAGACTGGAAGGGGTATCACACGCAAAACGTGGTGAAAAGTATAAAGATATCGACCAAAAGATAAAAACTTGGTCCTTCATGAGCCGTTTGGTGCCAACGTACTCGGTTCGCGCATAGTCTTATCTATGCATAAATTGCGAGAATAGAGATTGTGACTTTATGGGTTAAAAAAAAGTCCCTAAAGGCGGATGAGCCCTCTTGGAACTAGGATGCTTTCCACATCCTACGGGAAAATATCAGAGCAAAGATCCTAGGACTAATCAAAATGTCTACTGTGAAGCGTGCCACCTTTTTACAACATTCTCTATGCGACATTTTAACTGGGGCCCCTGAGGTTGGGTCATTGGGAGCCCATAAGCACGTGCTTGTTCTGCTTGTACGTAAATCCGGCCCTGCATTTATCGACGTTTAGCTTATTGGTAGATTCCAAAAGGCTTTAACCTTATTAATAACGCAAATCTTGAGAAGTAAATAGGAAACAGCATCACATTCACGCTGGCGATACTAGCAAGGAGGACTATCCTTTACTCCCTTTAAGTATATCGCAAAAAGGATGCAGTATATACTGCAATAAAGTTATATAATCTTCTACCTGATGCTATTAAGTTGCTTAATGAGAAGGTTTTTACTAGCAGCATTAAACATTTTTTATTGTCAAAGGCGTTCTATTCGCAAAACGAGATTTTAATTTTAAATTCGGCGAAAGATACAGATTTTCGATGATTGTCGACAGTAAAATTACAGGGTGTGTTTCTTTTCAAGCTAGTGCATAATCTCATCTAAAAAATAGTGATTCTTCATCTACTCGTAAAGTTGGCGATCACTAAAGATCTAAGAAAATTAGAATCTCTTAATGACATCATTGGTAAAAAGGGGGTAGAAATGAAGATTTTTCGGTAGTAGATACGAGTCTTAAAATTGCATTTTATCATTCATAAGCACTATATTATGTCAGCAATTTTCAAGACCCCCTCTGACTACGGCCCTGTTACCATGCCAGTTTGCTTTGTGGAGAAGTTCGACTACTGAGTGTCATTCTGTACATTAATAACAATTAATTTACACATATCAGAGCCCATCAGCCTATCAAACTGAAACGAGATCCGTTCATGCATTTATCAGATGGTGGGTGATTTATGGTGCCCAGCACCGCGTCCCAAAAATAAGCTCTAATTATCTAAAGCCTTTGCAAGACTTTGAGACTTTTGTAACAGAGAGAATCAGATGTGCAGGTCAGAAATTTTGTAGATACCTATGCGTATCGTCTCCAATGGTGCCATTTACCGGGAGTTGACATTTAAAATAAGTACGTGTGTAAATTAGCAACCCAAAAAGGACGAAATTTTACATAACCAACAGTAAAACAAGAAACGATCATCCAAAATTCAAAATTTTCAAAGCTCTTATCATGTTTTAAAAGAAAACCCGGTTTCTAAACGACATGGCACGACGCTACACGGGCCATACTGATTATGCGCAGGTGTTTGTTTTTTGGCAAATTAACGTTATATTGCGTACACGTGGCGCGTGCATTTGTAAGATAAGAATGGCAGGTTTTCCCAAATTGTAAGTAAACGGCCATTCTTTCACGTCGATCGCCGTGGTTTCGTAGTTCTTTTGCGTGCGTAGTGATTGGTGATCGCGATTCGTGTTTTTTATGCATCCCTTGGTAATCAAGGGCAGTCTTCTGGTCCCATGGATCTGTGCAGAAAAAGGATGATAAAGGTAAGCCGTTTGATTGTTTGCTTATTCGGTTTCGCAACACCGCATTTTACTTGTGTCCGTAACACTTTGGTTCCGTACTAAAAAAACGTGTGACCATTCGGATATTCACCACAAATTCAAAACGCATTTATCTTATATTTCAACGTTTCTTTTAATATTAATTTCCTCTAATTTGAATTTCCACGGGTTTGTTAAAATTCAAAATTTTACCAAGAGTTTTTAAAAACCTATATGGTTATTAAGCCCAAAATATTTTAGTGGGCAAATACGCCCTTCGCCCTTCTCAGTTTAATGATAATTGAGAAATTCCATTTTTAGTGGACATCTACTTTTTGAAAAACGACGAATTGCAGCTAAACGACTCATTATAGATATCATTTGTAATAACGGGCGATCAAAAATGAGTTGCTGTCGAGTCGCCTTTGGAAGTTCAAGTTAAGTACGATTTTTCATGTAAACAAAAATTCCAAAGGTGACTCGACAGCAACTCATTTTTGATCGCATAGTACATAAAGTCACACTCAAATTGACCAAGGAATCGAAATATGTAATAATATACAAGGGGTTCCATTAAATCGCTACTACTTCTAGATTTTAGAGTCGCACTAGAGAAAGTGTTCATTCAGCACCCTTTTTTCTCATTTGGAATAGTTCGTAATCGTATCAATCCTTTGCCTTTTATCTTTTTGTATTTGTTACTTATAGTATATGCGCACATTATATTATTATTAAAACAAAAGAAAAGATCTAACAGAAGACCCTTTTAAAGGGTGACATCACAAGCATAATGGGGGGAAAGTCGTAAAATTGCAGTTTCTGATGATATTTATTGTTGGTTTTTAATTTCCTACGTTACCTCACGCGAAAGTAGATCAAAATAGAGCTTTTGATCCTAATTGTTCTTTAAAATTGGTATTTTCCAAAGATTTAAGAAACTTGCAGCCTCTGTCATTGAATTTGAGCGACATTACAGTAAAAAACTTGAAAAAAATGTAGATTTCAGCCATTAACGGCAGTCCAAACGTTACAGTTTCTCTTTCAGAATTACTTTTTGCATATTCGTGCGCAGAAAGTGCAAACGACGGTTAAAGTTGCTACTAATGATTTAAGAAAATTGGAACCTTCTTTATAGATGTTGGTGGCATGACAAGGGGTCCCAAAAATAAGCTTTAAGCTAATAAGATGAAGCCTTTGCAAAATTTACAGCTTTTTTGGAACGTAGAATCCAATGTGCAGGTCTCCTAAGGGCGAGCAATACGCTAATGCCATTTACCGGGATTATAAATTCTTTTGGAGTTGAAATTTATTGAAATAAATATTGCGGAAGAGAATATTTCGGGGGCGAACGTATTGTTAATTCGTTAATTGTAGTTCTCTGACTAAAGTGACTCCTTTACGGGGTCCCTTTGAGAGGGTCTAAAGTAACCATTTTAGTATAAATTTTAGTGTAAAAATGTGATTTATTTCGTAGTCAAAATGACCAATCGGATATCCGTGTACGATTTTGGTGACAGAATTTTCAATATTAACATTTAAAATAAGTACGTGTG